CCTCATTAGTCCTAGCAATATAATATTGTGGCATAACCATTTTTGGTTATCCATAAAAAAATATGTTTAAATGACATTAAAATGACGTTTAAGCATCTTCTTTCATAAACCACTAAAAATACGACCCCTTTTTTCTTCTTGGTAGTTGAATAATACAAAGGTGAAAGCTCTTTTTCTTCTACATCTTCAAAAAACAATATAATATACACTTATTGTACATTTATTGATAGCATAAACAATCCATAATTTATTCATAGCATAATGGAGCAAAAACTGTTAATTAGTAATACATAAGTATACTACAAAATCTAAAAAAAAAAAAAAAAAAAAAAGTACAATTGCAAAAAATCACAAGTTTATTTCATGATAAATCTTAAGTCCAGTGCATAACTTTACATAAAAATTCACAAAATTACTTCACAATAATTCACAAGTCTACTTCAAAGATATTTTAAATCAGTCTATCTTTTGGGGATCAGGAAATATCACTAAATTTCAAGTTCAATTTGGATCTTAATCCATGTCTTCATTCCCAATCTAGATCCTCTTGTTTTCTTCGCTAGAGGTTTATTAATTTGGACTTCCCTATGATATCCTAAGTGTCAAGGAGGTTAGACTACTATTGCCATTATTTTGTGATTGTGTAGTAATAAGCTCATCAGGTGTTCTATCATAGTATCATCTACCATTAATAATGTGACTAGGATTTCATCAGTTTGAGGACTACCTCCAACTTCAACTACAACCTTTTCTTAATTACTAACTTCTTAATGAGTTATAGCCTTAGATGTAATTTTCTTGTTCCTAATCCTTTTCTTGGGATGAAGCTACATATCATGTATCAAAATATGGCATGACCAAGTTGCAAGTCGCAACAAACTTATTATGGCTGGCCTGGCCAAAAGTTGCAATTACAAGTAACATGGAAATGAAATTATTGGACCTACATATTGTAGCTGAAAAAAAAAAGAGGAGGAGCCATATGTAACGTCACAATCGGTCCCTACATGCTTACTAGAGACAAAAAGATAGATACCAGTATATTCTTGAATTTTATTGGCTTTAATTTCAATCAAAATATCTTAATCATCACATATCATATCATTATTTTGAATCTGCATTCATTATTGGTATATATTGCCTACAAGTTGGTTATAGTCTATCCTATAGAATGCTCCCAAATGAAATGGGATATGCTATACTCACATTCATCGTATTCGAGCAGGACCAGCAATTATAATGTGGACCGCGGTCAACAAAGCACCATGGTCCAAAACGGCAGACACTATAGTGTATCTAAACTGACATTGTTTCACGCATTATTTTTATTATATTATCAAATGAAACTGCAATTGAATTTCATGTATTAAACTAAAACAATTGATTACTTATTAGACAAAATAAGGCGCGGTTGATGCTCTTGCTAAGCTATCATGTGATCAAGACTCGGGTATTTACATTTTTTAGATTCCCCTTTTTTGTTCTTGCAAATGGTGAAGGATGATACTTTTGGTACCGGAGGAGAGACGATATTCTTGTGTATGTGTGTGTGTGTATATATATAGGGAAGGGTTCAAGTGCAGGTGACTGTGCGGTTGTACGGTTGGACACACCTTAAGCATTAACATGACGCACCTTAAGTGAACTGAAATACCATTCAGATTACAATTCACTTGAGGCCTAAATTTTGCCTAATGTTTTCTCTCAATTTTCTTGGATCCATGACCACTTAGTAAGTTCATAATAATATACTATTATTATTTGATACATTAAAATATAAATTACTTATATATTTTAAAATATTATTTTTTAGAAAATTATATATTTTACATATCACTAGGGATGACAATGAGTTATTGGGTAGGACGTGAATAACTACATTACTACCTGACTCACCTTGTATATTCTCCACCCACCCTCACTATGGACTTATAGTGCGCAGATGAATTCTTTCAAAATTCGAGAGAATACTACGAGTACCACCACTTATTATCTTCTTATTTTTTTAAATAAAAATATTTAAATTACTTATCAATAATAAAATTCACTAATCATATTAAAATATAAAATAATATAAATATTCAAATACAATAACCAAATTATTATTATTTTTGAAATAAACTTATTATTTTAGAACTAAAAATAGTCAAAAGTTAACAATAACTAAATAAACTTTTAGAATTAACTACGTACTAATCATTATTTATTTTACTACACACAATATATATATATATATATATATATATATATATATATATATATATATATAGGGCCGTTCTAGGCCATGTCGGACCGGCGCGACCGCACAGGGCCCCCAATTTTTGGGGGCCCAACTTTTTTAAAAAATATTATAGATATAATTTATAATTTTTTATACTTGATAATTATTATTATTATTATTATTTTTGAATTCATAGATTGGTCTTAATTGTAATATAATTGAAAATAAAACTTTAATGAATTAACATTGAAAATTTGGTGAATAATTTTATATTTAAATATGAACGAAAATATAAATATTAAATTAACTTTTGAATTGTATTCTTTCTTTGTTAAATTTTTATGCATTATATTTGGACAAAAAATTTTAATTATATTTTTATTTTTGTTCTAAATTTTCTAAACATCCATTTTCATCTCCTAACAAAAACAATGAAGGTCCAAATTAAATAATTAAACAGGACCTCTATATTTAATGGAACGGCCATATATATATATATATATATATATATATATATATATATATATATATATATATATATATATATTGGTTCCTATGAGAACAGGTTTTCCCGTGCGGTCAGTGCGACATACACCATTAGGTATGCATAAATGCACCATACAATGTTCTAGAATACACTAGAATGAAATGTCAAAAAATGCACCACACAAAAAAAAAAAAAAAATACACTACACATAATAGTGTATTTTTGAACTCTGTGTGGTGTATTTATGCATACCTAATGGTGTATGTCGCATTGACCGCACGAGAAGACCTGTTCTCACAGGAACCTGATCATATATATATATATATATATATATATATATATATATATATATATATATATATATATATATATGGAGAGAGAGAGAGAGAGAGAGAGAAGGGTGTTGGGGTGGGGGGGGGGGGTGTGGAAGGGGTGGGAGAGGGACGCACACACGTTGTAGGTCAGGACTTTTGTAAAGTTCTAAGAAGATTTTGTATATAAAACCTACTTCCAATATGATTCATTATAAGTTTAATTTTTTAAGACTCATCCCAAATCACCATACACCATTCCCAAAAAAAAAAAAAAAAAAACTCGAGTAAATATCTTAGAGGGATTGAAATTGTCATGTCTTCCCTACCCTACCTATCATATCACATTAATATTAAATTTAAATATCCAACAATTCAGTCAAGTAGTTCCTCATCCAAATCCTATTATATTCCTATCTCCCCAGCCGCCCTTCCCCTAATCTTGAAGATATTAACAATATAATGAGGAAGACTGGAGATCATGTGATTGTCAGTTAGACATTGGACAAAATGACAAATTAAATATAGTTATAGTTGAAGCATTCAAACATTAAAACATCCATTTAGTATTATTGGTATGTAGTTTAGTGCATCTACAAAATCATGGAGGATAATTTTTTTGGCATTAACCCCCTAAATTCAATTGGATTGTATTTTTTAGACCAGTAAAGAAGGGGAACACCCACGAATACAGACTAGTTCATCATTTGATGTCAAGCTAGGATTCTCCTCTGGTCGCAATCTAATATTTGAAACAATGGTACATTTCTATTATCTTTGAAGAAATCATTGTTTCTTTGCATTCTAAACCCTGGTCCAAAAATAACCTTCAAATTCTGTATCTATAGTTGACACATTCTATACCTGCAGTTGATAGTTTTTGTACCTGTAACTATATCATATTATGTGTCAGCAATTATCAAGTTATTTGTTTACATGTACACAAACTGTTTACTGTAGGAGAAAAATGTGTTAACTAAAAATACAAAATTTTTATATCAGAATTCACAATGTAATATGAACCCTGGTCCATGGTATAAGAATTGTAAAAATAATAGTTACTCTTTAGTTTTAACGTGTCTTGAATTATTAACGGATTAACATGTTAAAAACTCATTAAAAGGTTAAACCACTTACCCGTTAAAGACCCATTTAACTGCATTAATGATTTTTATATATTATTTTAAAAGTTGATGGGTGTGATCCTAAACAATCGTTATGCCATGGGACCGTGTTCACCATGGATGGTGAACACGGTCTCAACGGTAACGATGCACCACTATCTTTTTTTTTTTTTTTTTTTTTTTTTTCTTAACTAATCGCTTGACTTTTCTTCTTCATTTTCACATTTCGCGGTTTTACTTTCTCTTCGCGCAAGTTTCTTCAATATTCATAAATTATGAATGTACAGGCATGAATTTATGAATGTGCAGTTATGAAATTATGAATTTTCTTTTATGAGATTATGAATTTTCTGTTATGAAATTATGAATTTTCTGTTATGAGATTATGAATTTTCTGGTATGCGATTATGAATTTTCTGTAATGAAATTATGAATTTTCTGTTATGAGATTATGAATTTATAGAAAATTCATAATTACATAACTGTAAATTCATAATCTCATAACAGAAAATTCGTAATTTAATAAATGTTTTTCTTTTATGCGATTATGAATTTTCTGTTATGAGATTATGAATTTACAGTACATTCATAATCCCATAACAGAAAATTCATAATCTGCACAAACGCGCGCCATTAACAACACATTAATTTATTTTTTATTTTTTTTTCGTAAAAACAGTATCGTTTGGACCGGTGTTCACCATTCATGGTGAACACGTTTCCAGGGCATAATTTGCGGATCCTAAATAACAAGATAAAAATGTTAAAAGGCGGCTAAACTTTTTTTAAAAAAGTTCTAAAATATGGAGATTGCTTTGAACACTAGCTATCTATCCGTGAATGAGAGCCAACTAATATATTTTGAATCTATTCAATATAATTCCAAAAGAGGCAACAAGTTTCATCAAGTATAAAAGGAACTCATATGCATTCAATGCTTTGAAAATTAGAAGTGATAAATCCTCAAAATCCAAAAAGAGAGAATTTGAAGTATTTTTAAGCGATACTTAGAAATTCTAAGTTTGCTTGAACCAATCAAGATTCAACTTAGTCATGTCTAACATAGTCTATCCTTAGACAACAACTCTCAATCTCACGATTAAGGATTGGAAGGTAATCCAGCTTCAATTTGGTGGTTGACCCTTAGACTGGATCGGAAGGCAATAGCAGGTAATTAAGAATAAGACAATTTGGCGAAAGATCCTTGATTCGAAAGACTAGTGAGTAGTGATGAAGGAGTTAAGTAACAAAGCTGCTTTGTGATCAAATTTTAATTTGTGAGAAAAACTATACATATTCACTTTTAATTGTTGTGTCAAATTACATAATGAAATTCGGTATTGTTGCTAATAAGGAGTTAGATGAGTGAATTATGGAAATTATAGTTATTATATATCACCTTTCGAACTACTATAAAATTCTCTCTTTATTTGGTTATACACTGACGCAACTCATATACACACAAGCATCTATTGCAAACAATTTCAAACAATCCAAGCTGCAAATATCTTCATAAAATTGGCAAGTTAAAACTTTTGTTGTGCACTTTATTCTGTAATTTTTTATTTTTTTTCATTTTCATTCTTTCAAAAGTTGAACCTCAATCTTAAGGGCATTTTTTTTTCATTTCATGAAAGTACTATAAGTACTAGGGATCGAGTCTCACCAGCGGCAGTGTGGAAGCTACCTCTCAAAGTGAGGGGAGTTCCTTGTGCGCAGTGAGCAAAGGTCTAGCCTCTGTGGTTCATGTTCAATTGAGTTACCATGATTTACATCCTCACAAATGCTTTGTCGGGTTAGAGTTTGGGGATCCTTAAGATTGGAATTCAACCTTTTAGAAGAATGAAAGTACTATAAGCAAGTGCATGTCTAATATTGTTGTGTTCAAATAGGATACTATAAGTCTAACTGTCTAAGGTTGTTGTGTTCAAATAGGATACGATTTAATAAGTAGTAATATGATAATGTACTATGGTTGTCTAAATAAGAATTTTATGGTACTATATAATTTCAAACAGATAAGCTCTTGCTGTACAAGGAAAAATGTTATAAAATAATTAATGTAGACAAGCCGTCACTGTTAAATAGCCTTGGACGCAACTTCTGTATATTGCATCAGTAGCCAACATACCATTGAGCATATATATATGGACCATATTCACATGAAAACAATGTTATCAAGAGAAAATCAAAATTTTAATTTTATCTGTTTGTCTAGAAAAATCTAATAAATCTATAATACAATTAAAAAAATGCGGTGACATGTTAGTCTTTTTCAATTTTAGAAGTACAAATTTTTACATTATAGAATGTAATTTTCAACGGTATAGAGTGTATTTTTGGGTACAATCGTATAGAGTGCATTTTAAAGACTTTTAAATGGATGAATTTTAAATGACTTTTGTATGCTTGGTAGAATCTTTTAAACTCTTATCAACTTTGTACTGAGTCTATACAAATCTGTAGGACAAACATTTATAGCTTTTAGAGAAAGAGAGATTGTAGAAGAAGAAGGAAGGTTACTATTTCATTAGTTTTTGAGAGAAGCAGATTACAAGCTTTTATACACAAAGCTATAACCACCCTTAACTACCAACTGCTAGCTATTCCTAACAGCCTCTAACTACTAACTGCTACTAACTGTATGATGCAACAGAAAGAAAGGGAATGGAGCAGAGAACAGATGGTAACTGTGAGGTCAATTATCTTGACTTCCTGATATCCACCCGCAAGCTGGATTGTATAGATTGAGCAATCCAAGCTTGGAAATGTAGCTGTTGAATGATCCTGGGCAATGTGTTTTTGTAAAGGTGTCAGCTAACTGGTTTGTTGAGGCAACATGGAGGAGTTTGATGATGCCTTTACTTAGTTTCTCTCTGACCAGGTGGCAATCCAACTCAATGTGCTTGGTACGCTCATGGAACACTGGATTTTCAGCAATAGCAATTGCTGATTTACTATCACAATAAACAACTGCAGGAGTGTTGTGTGTTACTCCAAGTTCTTTGAGCAAATAGATTAGCCACTGGACCTCACAGGTAGTAGCTGCTAGTGCTCTATATTAAGCTTCTGAGGATGACTTAGAGATAGTAGGCTGTTTCTTTGACTTCCAAGCTATTAAGGCCTGGCCTAGAAACACACAAAATCCAGTAACAGATCTCCTTGTATCAACACAGGTTCCCCAATCTGAGTCTGAGAAAGCCTTTAGCTGTAGGTCAGAGGAAGAGGGAAAGAGCAAACCCTGTCCTGGGGCAGCTTTAATATACCTCAGAACCCTATGAGCAGCTTGCATATGTAACCTGGTAGGCTTATCAAGGAATTGAGATAACTGCTGAGTTGCAAAACTGATGTCTGGCCTGGTTATGGTAAGGTAGAGCAGCTTACCTACAATCCTTCTATACTGAGTGTTGTCATCAAGGGGTTCACCTTCAGTTTTACTCAACTTATGAGATGGAACAGTGGGACTGTAAACAGGTTTGGAATTTGTGAATCCTGTGTCATTAAGCAGCTCAATAGCATATTTTCTTTGGCAGACAAGAATCCCTTTCTGTTGTCTGGCCACTTCCAGACCCAAGAAGTACTTTAGGGGCCCTAGATCCTTTATCTTGAAGCTTGTGTTGAGCTGTTTCTTAACTTCTTGTATCCTTTCCAAATCAGCACTTGCAATTACTATGTCATCAACATACACAAGTAGAGCTACAAAGGAGGAACCTGCTCCTTCTGTGAATAAGGAGTTGTCAGGTATGGTCTGTTTGAACCCCAAGTTTTGTAGGACAATGCTTAGTTTAGTGTTCCATTGCCTACTGGCTTGCTTCAGTCCATATAAGGATTTGTTTAGCTTGCACACCTGACCTTCTTTACCTTTTGTGAACCCAAGGGGTAGTTGCATATAGACCTCCTCATCTAAGTCCCCATTCAGGAAAGCATTATTCACATCCATTTGATGCAAATGCCACCCTTTTGCTGCTGCCACTGCTAGTAGGGTCCTGATGGTTGTCATTTTAGCCACAGGACTGAATGTGTCAATATAGTCTATCCCAAGAGTTTGATTGTAGCCTTTAGCCACTAGTCTTGCCTTGTACCTGTCAATGGTGCCATCAGCTTTGTGTTTGATTTTATATACCCATTTGCAACTAATGGGCTTCTTGGAAGGAGGTAGACTGACCAATTCCCAAGTGTTATTCCCTTCAAGAGCTTTGAGTTCTTCTTCCATAGCCTGTACCCAACATTCATGCTGAACTGATTCTTTGTAGTTCCTTGGTTCAGCATGACTTGTGATGTTCATCACAAAGGATTGGAAGGATGGACCAAGACTGCTGTAGTCCATGACTTTGTCCATGTCATGAGGAGAAGTTTTTGTAGTAATGTTTTGACACACAAAATCCTGCAAATAGGCAGGAGCATGCCTTTGCCTTGTTGACTTCCTGTTGCCTTGTTGGACATGACTTTCTGGTTGGGGAGGCACCAAAGTTGGAATAGACTGATCAGTGTTCTCATTTAAGGATGTATTTGTCATCTCAACTGGATTATTATTCAAGACAGCTGGGGTTGAGTGTAATTGATTCTCAGACTGAGGCAAGGTGCATGCATCAGCCACCTCTATTGGATCACCACTCAGGGTAGGTAGTATGATTTGGGGCATTGTTTTCTGCTGATCATTTTGATGAAAGGGAAATATATTCTCATAGAAGATGACATCCCTAGATAAAATAACTGTTTTGGAAGTAAGATCAAGTAGTTTATAGCCTTTGGTTCCACTTGCATAACCAAGGAGCACACATTTCTTGGCTCTAGGATCTAGCTTTGATTTTTGACCTAGTGTTTTGGCATAGGACAAGCAACCAAACACTTTCAGATTCTAATATTGTGGGACTCTTTTGAGCAATATTTGGTAGGGGATTTGATTGTTTATAGCAGCTGAGGGGAGTCTGTTGATTATGTAGGCTGCATGAAGAATGCATTCTCCCCATAGACACTCAGGTGTGTTGGACTGAAACCTTAGTGCTCTGGCAGTGGACAGCAGGTGGCCATGCTTTCTCTCAACCCTGCTATTTTGCTGGGGTGTGTATGAACAAGAGGTCTGATGTATGATCCCCTTCTGACTATAGAGTTCCCTCATGTCAAACTCCTTTCCATTGTCTGATCTTATACACTTCACCCTGGCCTCAAACTGATTTTCTACCAGATTACAGAAGTTTGTAAGTATGCTTCTGACCTATGACTTTGCTTTCATCAAATATACCCATACTGCTCTGCTGTGATCATCTAGTATGGTGAGAAAGTAGTGGTGCCCATGTATTGTAGCCACTTTATAGGGTCCCCATATGTCAACATGCAACAAATCAAAGCAATTAGCAGCTATAGAAATACTGGATTGAAAAGACAATCTCTTTTGTTTAGCAAAATGACAACAGTCACAAGCCATTTCTTTATTGACCTGAATCTCAGGTTCTATACTCTTCAAGAGCTGAATTTTAGCATGAGAGGCATGCCCTAATCTAGAGTGCCACAAAATACACTTGCTAGAAATTGAAGCAGTGTTACAAACAACTGTAGGGACTATAGGAAAAACTAAGTGATACAGTCCATTTTGCAGCTCAGCTCTTCCAATCATTCTGCCATGGATAACATCCTGTATGATACATTGGTTAGTGTGTATTTCAATGGCACCTTTGGAATCCCTAATGAAGGATCCTATAGAGATCAGGTTATAATGGAAGCCAGGTACATATAATACATCATGTAAGATAAAGTTATTGGATAAGCATACTGTTCCAGTGCAGGCAATGGCAGCCTTCTGCCCATTTGGCAAATCAACATGAAGATTTTGAACTTTCTTTTGATTCTTTAATAGAATCAGATCAGACACAATGTGGTGAGTGGCACCACTGTCCACTATCCAATCAATTACACCATGTTTAACAGAATTGATTGAGGCTATACCTTCACTTTGCAGATCAGCAGCCATAGTGTTGATGGAGGCTTGTGGTGACTGATCAAGAGGTGAATTGCTGATGGACTTTTGCATCTACATAAACTCCATGAACTTCTTGAAGTCATTTTGATTGAATGACACATTCTCATCACTATTATGCTGATGTGCCACAGAAGCTCCCTGTACTTGATTCACAGATTGGCTTCTTGATTTTGGCTTCCAACCAGGTGGGTATCCATGCTTTTTATAGCATTTATCTTGAGTGTGACCTGTGTAGCCGCAGTATGTACACACAGGTTTCTTGTAAGGTGCTTGTGCCTTCTTATATCCTTGCTGGAAACCACCTTCACCCTTGGCTAAGAAGGCACTTCCACTGCTGTTGCTATTTTCACCAGCTTGACATAGCTGGTTTCCAAATCCAGTAGCCCCTATCTGGAATTGTCTTTCTTGCTGAGCAACCATTAAGTATGTTTCATTGACATCAGGTAAGAGTCTCATGAGCATGATCTGATTTCTTGCCCCTGTGTACTTCTCATGCAACCCCATTAGAAAGACGGACAGTTTGTCCTTCTCAGCTTGCTCATTCACTTGATCCAGTTTCTTTCCACAAGCACACTTAACAGAACAAGTGCAGTGCATTGGAGGTCTAAGAATGACCAATTCATCCCACAACAACTTTTGTTTAGTAAAGTACTCATTCAAAGAATCATCACCCTGTTTAGTTTGATATATCTCACACATGATTTCAGCAATCCGGAATAGATCTTGTTGGCTAAATCTCCTCTTCAGATCTTCCCAAATGCCATATGCAGTGTCTATCCATAGAACACTGCGTCCAATGGTTGGAGACAAGGAACGAACTAACCAAGTGCAGACAATATTATTACATCTTTTCCAGACATAATACTTCTCCAGATCGTCCTGAGAAGGCTTCTTGATAGCCCCATTAATGAAGGGTACTTTGTTCTTGCAGGATAGAGTCATAGTCATGGCTCTAGCCCACGCATGGTAATTTGATCCATCCAAAGGGAACGAAACGAGTTCCAAGCTTGGATTCTCGTTCACATGCAGATAGTAGGGATTAGACTGAGTTAAGGGTTCATAGACTACCTCATGTCTATCCATTCTGCTGACAGGTGTTGATGGTCGCAATGTCGAAGATCCTGCTGCGCTTCCAGTGTGATTCGCTGCGGAATTGGCTGGTGCAGTTTGTCCGTTGATTGGGGGCCAGGCTGTTGTCGAAGCCATCATCACACTCACTGCAATCTCTCACTTTGAGAGCTCTAATACCATTTTAGAGAAAGAGAGATTGTAGAAGAAGAAGGAAGGTTACTGTTTCATTAGTTTTTGAGAGAAGCAGATTACAAGCTTTTATACACAAAGCTATAACCACCCTTAACTACCAACTGCTAGCTATTCCTAACAGCCTCTAACTACTAACTGCTACTAACTGTATGATGCAACAGAAAGAAAGGGAATGGAGCAGAGAACAGATGGTAACTGTGAGGTCAATTATATTGACTTCCTGATAATAGCAACACCATCTTTTTTTTTCTCTTTTTCGCCCCTCCATATCTCTCTCCTACTTAATTAGCAACAAAATTTTGACAAAAAAATCTCACTATTTTTTTTTAAGACCATGAGGTGTCTTGAGCAGACCCTAACTATAGGAAAAACCTTTAAAGTCCGTGACAAAAAAAAAAAAATCTCACTATTAAAGTTGCTCTAAAGGTGAAATTCCTTATTTGATACTCTTTAATTGCTTGCTCCATATTACAAATCTCACTATTAAAATTGCTCTAAATGTGAAATTTTTTATCTGATACTTTTTAATTACTTGCTCCATATTACAGTAACATTCTCTTTTTTAGTACTATTAGCTCTGTTACAATATAATATCAAGTAATCTCCCATTTAAGAGAGCCACAATTGTGCTGCTTAACCACAAAGTTTTTCGCATTACCTTAACATTCTTAATTATAATTACTACTATTAGTTAACAAGTGTAATTTTCGGCATGTAGTCCCGGCGAATTAAATTCAATTCTGATATGTACGTGTATGTTGCAAGTGGCTAGCTAGGCGGCTGACCAAAAAGTTGCAATTGCAAGTGACATGAAAATTAAACAAATTGGACCCTCATACCCTACATATATTGTAGCTGGAAAAAGAGTGATAGGCTTCCATGTCACATCGCGATCGGTCCTTGCTTATCGTACCGGAGGCTTATAGATAGATACTAGTATATTCTTTGTCATTTTTATTTCAATTTTATTGGGTTCGAATCCAAATATCTTCATCATCTATCAATTTTGCATTCTCTGGCAAGCAATGCCTACAAGTTGATTATAATCTTTTTATTTTATTATTGTCTTTGGATGATGACCAAGAAACTTCAAAACTAGTATTTGAGAATGTGCGTTGAGTAAATTATACATTGTGATTTTAGCCAGCAAAGAGTATAATGAAGTAAATCAGTCTATGATGTTGACTTTAGGTTGCTATGGGAGAAAATTTTTTTTTTTCTTTTCATTTTTTTGTGATAAGAAAACATATAATTACTATTTGAGAGTATGTATTGAATTTTTTTTTTTTTACAAATTACAGAAGAGAAGTTAATCGCACTCGACCAGAAAGTTTAAGGTTGAAGAGAAATGATGAGTGTTCGTTTTACAATTACAAGGTAGCCAGTCGGCAGGTCCTGTAAACAATGCAAAAGTAATGCGAGAGTCATTTTACTGTCATAAAGTAAAAAATTCGAACCCCTTACAATGTGTCCCTCGAAGAGTATTTATATATTGGCGGCTAGCCTTAAGAAGGAAATGCAATAGTTTAGAAATTTAGACTAGGAAATTTTCCTAAATCAATCTTGGATTTTCTTCATAAAACGCGAGATCTTCTTTCTAAAATGCAAAAGAAAAAATTGAAACTAACTTAGTAACGGACCTTCCAAATATCTTTTAAACGCCCTTCTAAGGCCCTGTTTGGCAAATCTAGTTGAAAAGCTATAAGCTAGGAGCTGAAAGTTGAAAAGGAGCTGAAAACTGAAATGCTATAAGCTCGGAGTTGAAAACTGAAGAGCTGTTAAGCTAGTTGTTATGACTGAAAGTGTTTGGTAAAATTAGCTTTTTGATAAGCTGATAAATGTAAAAAGACTAAAAAGAACATCTTCATAAAATTTAAATTAGTTTATTTACATATTAAAATTTAACATTTTGTCTTTAAAAAAAATTAACATTTTGAAATAAAACTATTAGCATAATCATGATCTAGCATCTCATAATGAAGTAGCAATATTGTTGCAAATCTAATAATAATAATAATAATAATAATAATAATAATAATAATAATAATAATAATAATAATAATAATAATAATAATAATAATAATAATAATAATATTTGCGGTGAAAGGAGAAGCGAAAAGGATTTTAATTGGGAAGGGTAAATTATGTCATTTCTTTAAAATAATAAGGATAAAGATGGAAAAAAGTTAGGCAATTAGGAGCTTATTTTGAAACGCTACTTAAAGTAGTGTTCCAAAATAAGTTTTTAAAGTAATGTTCCAAAATAAGTTCTTATTTTAAGCTAGGATGCCCTGATTGATGGACTAGTCAACTACTCCACCCAACTGCCTAGCTGAGAACGCCGAGTGATTATCCATCCATCAATGAACTTGTCCAAAAGCTATGATCCTGGCCTATCATTTTGGTCAATTATTGTATATATATGTGCATCCATAAAGGCCACTTATTTTCTATTACTTTATCCGGTGGATTTTTTTTTTTTTTTTTTTTTTTTGAAATATCATAAAGAAATTTTAGACTAGTTAGTTACAATATCTCTAAAATGGACCACAAACATCACAAATTTAGAGACAATTATATTGTGGACTTATACACATTCATTTTTAATATATTTAAGGTTATTTTTAATTTATTACTATAGATTCATTTTATAAAAGCTTATTTTTAATGTATTAAAGGTTTTTTTTCTTTTAGTATATTATTTACAAAATAAATATTCAGTATATTAAAACTGAACATTTATCAGTAGTCCACTATGTAATGTAGATAAGGTATAGTTTCTTCTTCATCTTCTTCTTCTTTTTTAGTTTATTTATTTTGGATACAAATTAAAAGAGAAATAAACCTAAACAATTTATGAATCTTGCTAAGACAATACCAACAATATCAGCTAAAAGCAGAGGGTAAATTCTATCCAGATGAATCATATATAGTGACAAGAAACATTTGATGCATGTGGTTAAGGTCCAATCCAAATGATGGATTAAATTAACTCGGGTAGCTCAAATCACTTAACCCAATAATAATAGGAATAAATAAATGGATAATTATATGAATAATATAAGGGAAAATTAAAGATGAAGAATGTGTATCGTGGAGACAAGGTTTATATTAATAATAGTGCTGCAAGATGATTACAAATGAATGAATTGATTGAAGGATGTCCAAATCAAGACAATAATGAGCTAATTTATACTAAGGTTTCCTCCTAACCGTCCTCATGAGAATAGGGCGGGCGGCTGTATCTTCCTTGATCGCGTCCGTGCGTGTAGCACACGTACAAGGCCCAGGCTGCCCTAGGCTGAGGCCTCCCCTAGCCTGGGTCGTCCTCCAGGTCGCCCTTACTTTCCCTCGGGTCGGTTTGATCCGTGTCCGTCTCTAATATATCCATCACCAATTATTCTAATTAGTACAAGTATTAATTTCGTTGTCAATATGTCTAACAGAACAAATCCAATTATGGTGACGAAAAGATGATATTACTTCTAATAAATTCTTATTCTAGTGTTAAATTAGTAAAATTTTGGTTTTAGATTTTTTTTTCTCTTGAAAAAAGAGAGAGAATCAATAATAAAAGAACCTCCAAAAGGTGTTTAGCTAGTTGGAAGGTAAGAAAATGTGGATTTGAAGTACCAATCTTTACTCATAAACTACCACAAATAATCACACACACATAAAGGTTAATTTGGCAAGCAATAATTCAGCTAAGCCATCATTGTAGTAAAGCCTTAGACGCAATTGTATTTGTGGTAGCTTTCCTAGTCAATCTTTTCACCAATTACTAAGGTTTCTTGCTTGAAGCTAAGGAAAAAAAAAAATGTTGTCCAAATCAAATTGACCACAGATATATTATTGTATGCATTGATGAGGAAAATTGATGTTTGTATTAATATATACCAAATATTTGAAAAAAGATAAGATCAATGTTCATATATTTCTATGGACGTTTTAATATTTTGTTCGTTTGATATCGGGTAAAATAACTAAATCTAAAAGAAATAACACTCATGTTTCTATTTGATGAGTTAGAGAATTAAAATTGTCACAATCATACAAAATTAAACTTAATTAAACTTATGTTTTATTTGTAACTTTGTAAGATATCTGAGCTTTCACCTTGCAAATATTTGAGGGACTCTAAGAGTTATTTAAAATAGGTAATAGTAACATCATTAAGAATAACTTTTTCCGTGACGAGGGAAATTTATAATCACTATTTGAATGTGTGAATTGGGTAAATCTCCTTTTTATGTGTGCTTGTAAACCATCACACATGAGAGGTAAATTGCACTAGAAAGACTCTCTGTGACGATGGCGAACTCAACCAAAAAAATGACATTCTAGTACGGGAATCATGGTCTGCCCCACTCGAACACCTATTCCTATAGAAGAACTTTTTTCCTAAAAATGGACTAGTATTTTGAATATCTTCCTCCAAAAAAGTTGAATTCTCAATTCCAAGAGCCCCACACTCCGGCCCACGATAAAACATTTTGAAGGATGTAAATGGTAACTCAATTGCTCAGTATGTAGACAGGGTCAAATGCGTGCACACAAGAGATTTGTCAACTTTGGGCATAATTTCCACACGTACACTGTCGTTGCCGATATTCAAATCTTGATCTTTTCTCTCAAATACCACTTACTGGAGTGAGCTGAGTTAACCCCGTGCGAGGTAGTATTTTGAATAACTTACATTACAAAGTGTGTAATGCATCAATAACAACATAGAAGCATGGGTGGGACTCAAGATATTATTATTTGAGAAATAAAATTTAAAACCACAATTATTTCTCAACAAAGTGATAGATACAGATACCTGTCTCTATATGGGTTGAGTTATCAGCTGGCTTATCATGCGGCATTAGCAACTATGGTTAGTGATTGTTCTTCTAGAAGACTGGAAGAGTATCATGCATTTTGGTTGTCATTTTCTTATGAAAAAATCTATGAATATTCATTATCAACTGTCTTTGCTATTGTACAGAGATTCACATGTATGGATTATGGAGATTCCTTCCTAATCTCGTCCACACTTGGGAGAAGAAAATGACTTGATTCTCAAACGGTAATTACTATAATAGTGCCAGGAAATTATGGGAGTATAGGGCTATTTATGTCTATTCCGCATATAGGTGTCAAATTTGTTTTGAGGTCTACTACATAGACTTCCAAATTGTATTCCCTCATTTGTACTCCTTGAGGTGGCAAACTAGGATTGGTTATTTTCAACATGTGGGTCCACCGAAAAATGTCTACATCAAGAACATGTGAGAGGGATCGGAGTACAAGTTGGGAGTATAAAATGGGAGTACACCAAGTATTTTTCATTTGTTATTTTGTTATTTTGTTTTTTTATTTTTTTGTTTTTTTTTACTAGCTAGTTACAGTAGCTGGTTGCTGATAAAAAAATCTCACCTAAGATGCCGTCGTTTTTGAATTATTTCATTACACCATTTGACGCGATAAAAAGTTTTTTTCATTTAAACAAGATAATATATTAAACTTTCTTACTGTTCTATTATTATTATTAAACTACTACTATTATTATTATTATATTGACTCGGGCGGTCTGACTCAAATAACCCAATAATTAAATGATAAATAATAAGGGATAAAGAACAAGGGTAATGTAATGAAAAAGACAATGAATCACTAGTCATTGAGACAAAGTTTATATTAATGAATTGTGTTCAGCTATTACAATAGATTGGAATGATGATCCCCTAATAAGACAAAAAGGAGTGTTTTTATACTAGGTCGCGCCCCAACCGCTCCCGCAAGAAAAAGGCAGGTAGTTTGGACCTCTTTGACTGGGTCTAACGCCTCCCCTATGCACGCTACAACCGTCCATTAAGCCACAGAGGCCGAGCCCAAGAGCTTGGCCCTGGACCATCTCAAGGCACCGAGCTCCGAGCACGGCTTTGGACCTCCTCAAGGCGCCAAGCTCGGAGCTTCTCCTTGGACCTCCTCAAGGCGCCGAGCTCGGAGCTTCGCCTTGGACCTCCTCAAGGTGCTGAGCTCGGCGTGGGACCTCCGATGTGCCAAGCTCAAGACTCGGTCTTGGGCTCAAGTTTGGTCGGGTTCGCTCCACCGGGTTGATTTACTCCGGGTCCATTTATAATATATCCATTAATTATTATTCTGGTGATGAAGGAACCTCTCAGCTATTATATAAGAATTGAGTATGCATGAAGTAAATTTTGTTCATGTATAATAATTGACAACCCACATAGAAGAGACAAAACCTTACTAAAAACTCTTTATAATAGGTTCAACCGAGAAGGTGTTGACAAGAATCGAATTCATGAACTTTCAACGATCACCACATTTTTTTTTTTCATTTACTCTATCTATTTTGTAAGAATAATCATTTTACATTTCATCCCAATTATTACTTTGTCATATTTAGTCAACGACTCTACCTTTATCTTTGTTGCATTTGATTTTTTGAACAAACCCCTTTAAAAA